ACCTAATTCCTGCTGCCCTAACACCACCTGTCCACCTCAAGCCCATCTCCACACCTAAACATCCGGCACCCAGCCAGCCATGCTGATTGACAACCTCCAGATGAATCCACCAAAATTCTTACTACCCACCCCCAGTCTGTCCATTCCAACCTCCACCTCACATCAGCTCCTATGACTAGGAAATCTACTACTCAGTACTCACCAGCCTAACCACTGCCATGATTCCAATAACGCCATGACACCACACCCCAAAATTCACTCGCAATTAGCACCAGACAACCAGCAGGAAAAAAATCCAACTCCAAACTGCCAATCCCACCATACTTCCCTTCTCATCGCCACCATAGCCCAGACTTTAACTTGACCCACAGTTATGACTTTAAACACCATACTCCCTGACCACACCTCCAGTGAACTCCCAAGACTTCCACGGTTCAACCCCCACCAGCCCAACTACAGTCATAAGACCACCAAACCCCAATCATGCAACCCACCACCACCATGATTCCAATGCGCCATGACTCCAACTCCCACTGTTCTCAATCAAGCATAATAAAACCAATCCAACCAGAAAAATCAAAATCCACAACAGCTCACACTCCATCAGCCCAGCCTCCACGGCCAGCCCACCAACTCTGTGATGATTTCAAAAAACTGTCTTCAAGTACTTTGACACTGTTCCCTCCAAAAAGTAGAGATTAATGCCCCTCCACTTGTTTGTGGGCTAGACTTTAACTCTTTTTTTCAATAACTACAAGAATATGGGAGCAGTAACTAGGTCAATAAAAGACATCATGGCTTCTGTTTCTGAATCACTTGCTCCGGGGGAAGCCAGCCGCCATGTCATGAGGACGCTCAAGCAGCCTGGGGGGGGGCGCCCATCCACGTGTTGAGGCACTGAGGCCTCCTGCCAACAGCCAGCAAGGAACAGGAGAGTGCGCCATCTTGGAAGCAGATCCCCCACCCCCAGTCAAACCATCAGATGACTGTCACCTGGCTGACAACTTGACTGTAGCCTCATGAGGGACCCTGAGCCAGAGCCACCCAGCTAAGCCACTTTCGTGTTTCCAACTCTCAGAAACTACGTGAGACAATAAACGTTTGTTGTTTTAAGCTGCTGTGCTTTGGGGTAACCTTTTTTTTGGTACACAACAGTAGATAACTAATACAAACTCCAGGCCGGGCGCGGTGGCTCACGCCTGTAATCCTAACACTCTGGGAGGCCGAGGCAGGCGGATTGTTCGAGGTCAGGCATTCGAACGAAACCAGCCTGAGCAAGAGTGAGACCCCGTCTCTAATATAAATAGAAAGAAATTAATTGGCCAACTAATATATATAGAAAAAATTAGCCAGGCATGGTGGTGCATGCCTGTAGTCCCAGATACTTGGGAGGCTGAGGCAGGAGGATTGCTTGAGCCCAGGAGTTTGAGGTTGCTGTGAGCTAGGCTGACGCCACGGCACTCACTAAAGCCTGGGCAACAAAGGGAGACTCTGTCTCAAAAAAAAAAACCAAAAAAAAAAACCCTCCAAAACCTCATCCTCAACCCCATCTCCCTAATCCTATCCCATTTGCAGACCCATCTGTGTGGTGCACAGACCCGGAAATGATTCCCAAGTTTTCCCACCTCCTGGTGTTGAATCCTTTGTATAACCCCCTTGAGTGTGGTGGCACCTGTGACTGGCTTCCAACCAATAGAATATGGCAAAGATAATGGGTTGTCATTCCCTTTTTAAATTTTTATCTTTATTTTTATTTATTTATTTATTTATTTATTTTTTGAGACAGAGTCTCACTTTGTTACCCAGGCTAGAGTGAGTGCCGTGGCGTCAGCCTAGCTCACAGCAACCTCAAACTCCTGGGCTCAAGCGATCCTTCTGCCTCAGCCTCCCGAGTAGCTGGGACTACAGGCATGCGCCACCATGCCCGGCTAATTTTTTATATACATATCAGTTGGCCAATTAATTTCTTTCTATTTATAGTAGAGACAGGGTCTCGCTCTTGCTCAGGCTGGTTTTGAACTCCTGACCTTGAGCAATCCTCCCGCCTCGGCCTCCCAGAGTCACTGTCTTAATTAGACTCCATCTTAGCAGATTGGGGCAAGAGGGTTTCCCGGTGGGCTTGCAGCCACGCTGAGAAAGCCCTCTCCTCCAGGAACTGCGGGTGGCTGAGGGCTACCTCCAGACAACAGCCAGCAAAACTCTGGGGCCAGCAGCCATACAGGCAAAAGGAAATTAATTTTTCTCCCAATCTGGGGAAGCTCAGAAACAGATCTTTCTCCAGTGGAGCCTCTCACAAGACCATGACCCTCTACAAGTGCAGGATTGCAGCCTGGGGCAACACTGGAACAGAAAACCTAACTGAACCCTGCCCAGATTTCTGACAACAGCGATTGTGAGATGATAAATGTGTATTGTTTCAAGCCTGTACGTTTGGGGTGATTTGTTGTGCAGTAGAAAACTAACACAATCCCCCAGTTCACTGTGTCAACAACATCCCCTTTCTTCATCCCCATCTCTACCCCATTACTGCCTCAGTTCCCCTAATCCTCCTTGCATGCCACTCATTTTCTCTGTAATTGTTAATTCTACCACCTAACAGCTCAGTATGGTGATTCAGGCCTGGGTTCCAAATATAGCTCTGCCATTTTTTAAATTGAGGTGAAATACACATATGTAATTTACCATCTTTACCATTTATTTTATTTTATTTTTGTTCTTATTTTAAAGACAGGGTCTTGCTCTGTCACCCAGGCTGAAGTGCAGTGGCCCCCATCTTAGCCCCACTGCAGCCTCAAACTCCTGGGCTTTGGTGATCCTCTTGCCTCAGCCTCCCAAGTAGCTGGAAGAAGAGAGAGACATTGGGGCAAGGACATGGGAAAGGAGGCATGGCCAGAGGAGAGGGTTAAGATGGGGTTAAGACGGGCAGAGGAGGGGAGGGAAAGTGGGCAGAGAGGGCGTGGCTAGAGGCGTGGTTGGGAGGGCAGGTGCATGCCATGGCCTCAAGTGATCCTCCTGCCTCAGCCTCCCAAAGTGCCGGGATTACAGGTGTGATTCCCAGTGCCTGGCCCGCATCTTTACCATTTTTAAGTGTACAGTTCAGTGGTAACAACAGCTCTGCCATTTTCTGATTGTTTGACTTGGGACAACTGGATTCCATCTGAGCTTCAGAAATCTCATCCGTAGGATGGGAGCGTAATCACCACCACGAAATGTTCTTAGAGCTGAATGAAATATCTATAAATTGTCTTTAGTTGATGTTGTTTTTACAATTTTTTTTTTTTTGAGACAGATTCTCACTCTGTTGCCCAGGCTAGAGTGCCAGGGCATCAGCCTAGCTCACAGCAACCTCAAACTCCTGGGCTCAAGCGATCCTTCTGCCTCAGGCTCCCGATTAACTGGGACTACAGGCATGTGCCACCATGCCCAGCTGATTTTTTTCTATATATATTATATTATTATTTTATATTATACAATTAATTTATTTCTATTTATAGTAGAGATAAATAGAGGGGGGGTCTCACTCTTGCTCAGGCTGGTTTCGAACTCCTGACCTCGAGCATCCGCCTGCCTCGGCCTCCCAGAGTGCTAGGATTACAGGTATGAGCCACTGAGCCCTCGTTGGTTTTAGAGACAAGGTCTTGCTATGTTGCCCAGGCTTATCTTGAACTCCTGGGTTCAAACAATCCTCTCACCTCAGTCTCCTGAGTGGCTGGGCTTACTAGGGGGTTCCACCGTGCCTGGCTCTATAAAGTGTCTTGCAAGGGACTTGTAGGAAGTGTCTAATAAATGTTATTTTTGTTTTTCTTGTTGAGAAAATAAAAAGCGGTCATGTGCTCATGTCGGACAAACTGAAAGAACATTGTCCAAATCACAACAGTGACCAAACACCCACCTCTCCTGGCCAACATGAGTGACTGCCGCTGCTTTACCTGTGACAGTATAAATCCACTCAGTGCTCACCTGTAGATTAGACTCAATAAGGTACTTGTGTCAGTGATGGTTCTCCAGAGAATCGGAACCAATAACCTGGCTGGAGGGATAGATAGACCTGTATAATCTTACCTCTCTAGCCACCGTCTCTCGCTCCACCTCTATGGAGAGCTAGAGACAGTGAGAGAGATTTTAAGGAATTGGCTCATACAGTCAAGAGATGGCTGAAAGGGTGAAGCTCTGTGTTTGCTGAGACCCCTTCTGCTTTGGGAACCTGACAAGATAGAACAGAAGCCTGCACACTGGAGCGGCCTCATCCTGGGAGACATATTCATGCAACATGATGGGGTGGACTAAGTATTAATGATTGTGGATATTTCTTTCTTTTTTTTTTTGAGACAGAGTTTCACTCTGTTGCCCCAGCTAGAATGCTGTGGCGTCAGCCTAGCTCACAGCAACCTCAATCTCCTGGGCTCAAGCAATCCTGCTGCCTCAGCCTCCCGAGTAGCTGGGACTACAGGCATGTGGCACCATGCCCGGCTAATTTTTATTTTCTATATATTTTTAGCTATCCAAGTAATTTCTTTCTATTTTTAGTAGAAATGGGGTTTCGCTCTTGCTCAGCCTGGTCTTCAACTCCTGAGCTCAAACGATCCACCTGCCTTGGCCTCCCAGGGTGCTAGGACTACAGGCGTGAGCCACCACGCCAGCTTGATTGTATAAATTATTTTGATGGAAAGGATCCATGTTTGAAAACCAGAGTGGCTGGTGATCAAAATGACACCAAACGCATGACTAATCGAATCACTGGCAGGGAGAATAAGACCACAGCAATAGGCAACTAATATAAGTATCATGCTAAAAAATGCTGGCTTGACAGGCCCATTCTGGTCCACAGGACCATAGTTCTATCCCCACCTCCTTCTCCAAGAACCGTACATCACAAGCACCTTTTTGGGAACTAAGAGGCCCCGTTGGCTGAGGATTAAATAAATCATGGCGGGCACGGGGGTGTGCGTGGTGTGTGTATAATTCACCAGCCCTCTTTCGTTGCCAAAAAGGAGACAGAATTCATGCCAGCATGAGGGGCCATTTATTGTTCAGGGCCTGGGCCCCCCCGTTTTGGGGGAGTTCCCCCACTGCTACCTCCCCCCATTGTCCCCGTGGACCCCTCAAGAGGCAGGTTGCTGAGTTGGTCGTGGAGGGAGCACATCTTCAGGTGTAGATAGTCCAGAGCGGCCACCTTCTCCCTGTAACGACAGACAGTGGGAAGTTGGCGCCCACAGGGCCAGGTGCCGGGGTGTTGGAGTGGAAGGAGGGGTCAGGCCCTTTCCTCAAGACCTCACCCTCCTCCCACGCCCTCAGCCTCCTTCCTCACTCCGGCTTCATCTTGTCCGTCAGCAGCAGGTTCTTGGCCCGCAGGGCCTCGTCTTGGGCCAGCCGAAGGGTGGAGCTCAGGGCCTCTGCCCTGACATGTTTGGCCAAGGCCTGGCGCTCCAGCTCCTGGGGAGAGGAGTGTAGGCGCGGCTGGGCTTGCTGGACTGGGCTGGGGGTGGAGGGGGAGCTGGATCGCGGCGGGCAAGGGGCAGGGTCCCATGGGGCCCGCATACCTCCCCAGAGTATCCCATCATGCCTTGAGTTTGAGACTGACCCTAGTACCCCACAATGCACCAGCCCTCCAAATTCTATCATGCACTAAACCTGTGTCTGTCCCATGGTCTGTCCCCTGATGGATGCACTGGCCTATGTCCCAGCCAGTACTAATCACTGTCTATCACATAAATGTCTCCTAAGCCCATGAACAATCCTGAATTTGATATGTGTATGTGCCCCAGTATCCCTTCACATGGTGACACTCTACATCCCATAATTCACAAAACTCACAAAATTCACAAGAGTAGTCCTTAGTGCTCTGGCTCTCCATACCCCGCCATGCACCAAGCCCCACGTCCTCTCACGTACTGGACCTGTAACTCTGTCTTATCAATGTCCTGTCCTGCCTCACTGGTCTGTCACCCACTATGATTTGTAACCCGTCACACATTTGGCCACTATCCCATAACACATTAGATCTGGACGTTCCATAATGCACCAGGACTCAAGTGCCATCAACTACTGGGCTTGAGTCTGTTGTGCAATGTCCCAGGAAGAGCTGTGGTTCCATTTCCTGTAAGACAGTAGCTTACTGTAACCTACAGCCACTGGGTTCCCTGTCTGTCCCCAATAGATCTGACCCCAATGGATCCCATATAAGGCACTTTCTCCCCTAAGGTCTACAAAAAATCAGGCCCATGTTCCATGAGGCTTTAGACTGGTGCATGTCTCCTGTGTCCCACAATGCACCAGATCCAATGTCCCGTCATGCTTTGGGCCCAGGTCCATCATCCAAAGTTCCATAATAATTGGCCTGTGACTCACTAACCACCAAACTGCTTGTCCCTTCCCCCATGCATTAGAGCCAAGTCCCCTCCAGTGCCTGCTGCTCACAGCTCAGCCCTCCCCTTCTTACCACACAGCAGCAGTACCCTTGCACCTGGGGCTCCCCTCCCCCTGCCCTGATATTAAATTAAAGTGGGACACCGTGGCCCATGGTCCCTGGTACCAGAATCTTCTTGTGTAGCCTCTGGCAGCTGGGGCAGGCAGGAGGCAGGCCCCTCTGCTTCACCTCGTCCACTAGCGGGGTCAGTGCTCGCTCCAGCAGCTGCTGCAGGGATTCCGTGGACAACTGCTGTCCCTGGCTGGGGGAGGGACAGGCCCAGTACCAATTACATTCCCAGTATGCCCCATGCTCACCCGCCCAGCCTCCATCTGGCCCCATTTCCACCCTGTGCAACCTTCCCACCAAGCACGAGGCCACCCTGCAGTGTGGCAGGTGTCCTTTGGTCCCCACAGTGTCGGAAAGCTCACAGTGCCCTAGGGACCCCAAAGGACACCAGACAGCCTTGGGTTTCCCAAAGGCCACCAAAAACTCACTTCCCACAATGCACTAGTTAAACCTGGTCTCAAACTGTCCTGAGAGTGCCCCCTCCCTGCAAGGACCAACCATGGTATGTATCCCTTGGCTCCCACGATACATCAAGGTCTCACCTTCCCCACAATGCACTGGGAAACCCTGCCTCCCATCATAACACATCCCAACCTTCCCACAATGCACTGCAAATACACGCTGCTTGGAATTTATCAAGTCTTCCTTGAGTTCCACAAGACACTGATTTTACTTTGTGGTTTGGGAAGAAATGTGGCTCCCATCGTGCAGCAGGACCAGCTGGCTGGTCCTGCAATTAATCGGGATGCCCTGTCTCCCACAAGGAGCAACCCTGCACCCCTAGCCAATGCCCCATCTCCTTCAACGTTCTATCCAGAACGTGACCCAGAACGCGCCCGGAGGAAGGCCCCACCGCCTTACCTAGCACAGCGGGTACAGGAGCCTTGGGAGGACCGATCCAGGTTCATGGAGAGGTCTGGCCCCCTTCGAGAGTTCTGAAATTGCCGCCCTAGCTCCTCCAAAATCGGTTTCACTGGGCCCAGCCCCTCCAGTTCGCTCCTCAGTGAAGCCACAGACACTGTTGACCGCTCCACCCTGAGGCATTAGAGTAACCAGTGCTGCCAGGTCGCCTTTGGGGCTGTAGACCTCCACCCATCACTAGCCCAGCACTGGGGGCCCCACTTAGTCTGAAAGTCTCCGCCCTGCCCGCCCCTCTCCGCTCTGATTGGCTGCTCCTTTTGTATTTTAATATCTGGACTGCCCCTCCCTGCTCTCCAATTGGCTCTTGCCCATTTCAGTATATGGTCTGGACCGCCTAGCGCCAGCTAATTGGCCCACCCCTTGCCCTCAAGGCCACGCCCCCGGGTTGGGCCCGCCTTTCCCACAGCCGCCCCCCACGAACTGATCCCATCGCTTACATGGTGCACAGCTCGTCCGCCCGACCTCGCAGCTCCTGCAGGCCCCGCGCCGTCTGCGCCTGCTCGCGCTGCGCCCGCTCCCACTGGCCCAGGAAGCCGTCGAGCCTGCCGCCCAGGCCCCCGAGCAGCCGCAGGGCCTCCTGCACTGCCCCCTCCTCTTGATGCCACCGGGCGGTCAGCGAGGACACCTCTCTCCTGGAAGGGCAGAGGGAGGGCATGGGTCTGGGCTGGCAGGCACGACCCCATCGGCCCCGTCCTGCCAGAACCACACCGATGGCTCCAGACCCACTGGTCCCAAAATTCTCTCGGTGAAATCTACTCACGTCCTTCATTTATTCCCTTATCAGCTATCCTAGCCCTTTCCTCGTCAGGTTCCCAAGCTCCACCTTGGCTCCTCCAGACACTGCTCCCCAGGGCATCGCCCACCCTCCCCTGTCCCACTCAACTGGGCCCCTCCAGGACTGGCCTCCCGAGCCCTGCGCGCCTCAGTTTAACCACGTGCAGATCTCCCGCCCACCAGCCCTGAAGTCAAAAGTTAGATGGCTGAAGCCCCGCCCTTCCAGGTCACAGCCCCCAGCTCGGCTCCTTGACACCCCAACCCAAGGGCCCGGCCGCCTAAGATCTTTGAGCTCCACCCTCTGGTCTCTCGGACTTCAGCTCCAACTCAGTGTCCCCGCCCACCTCAGTTCCTCGAGGCCCCGCCCCTTAGGCCCCGCCCATCTCGACTCTTTGCGACTCCACCCTTGTGTCCCCGCCCACCTGAGCTCTTCTAGGCCCGCCGACACCTTCTGCAACTCCTGCTCGCTCCCGTAGGGGCCCTCTCCTGCCCGGGGTCCCAGTCCCCAGCCGCCGGGGGCCAGGGTGCGCGGCCGCGAGGGCTCCTCGGGGCTCCCTGGCGGGCCCGAGCAGCTCTGGGTCGGGGTGGCTGGGCCCAGGCCGTGCCGGGAGAGGCCAGCCTCCAGCTTCTGCTCCAGCTCCTGCAGCTCGGCCTCCTGCCTCCGCGGCGTCTCATCCTGCAGTTGCTGCTGGAGGTAGCGCAGCTTCTCCTGGGCGGGGAGGGAGAGCGGGCCGGGTCGTGGCGCGCAGCCCCTTTTGTCCCGCGACCACCCCACCCCTAACTTTGCCCCAGGAATCCCCGAGATTGGAGAGTGGATGCGCGTGGGGACGGGCTATTGGGAAGTCCCGCTTGCTGCCATTAGGGAGCGGAGGTACCATTTGAGGCCTCTGCAAGACTGCCTCCGGGTCCCTATCCCGCCCTCCACCCGCTCCTGTCTAGGATGTCAAATGACAGTCCCTGCCGCTTAGGAAGGACTGAGGCTTTTTCAATATTTCGGTGGCAAACGATTGGGCATGTGGGCAGCACGGGGCTTCTCACTCGAAGTCCAGCTCTTTCTGGGACCTGAATGCGACTACAGGGAGGAGGCCCCGATCTGGGTGTTGGAGCCTCATTCCAATCCCTCTTATTAGTGGATTAGTGGCTTCTCTGTGCGCCATGCACGAAGGGGCACTGTGATGATGGTGGCAGGACGAGGAGTCCCACCTGCAGTGTACCTCAAGTCCATCGTGCGTCCAACCTCCTCCCGCAAATCCTGGGACACCTCCCCCTCACCTCCAGCAGGGCAGAGTTCTGCTTCAAGACGTTGGTTTTGATTTCAGCATCTTCCACCGACCGGGTCACCTTCCGGCAGTTCTCCTGGGTCAGGATACCAGGGCGGAGCCCTACCTTCCCATTCCAATTCCTCCGCCAGACCCTGAGCCTGGCCGCCTCCACGCAGGCTCCACCCGCGCACCAGACACGCCCACTCACGGGCCTGGGCCCCTAGGCTACCGCGATGGCTTCCTCCTCAGCCCGCCGGGTCCTGGCCACCCCTCCTCCTCCTCCCACCTCATTCAGGCCCACCCACTCGGTCCTCTCCTCTTCCTCTCACTCCCTCCTACTCATTGCCCTCTCCCCACTGCGCCCCTGCTCACCTTGAGCTGACTGCAGTACCCCTCCAATTCTTCGGCCTCTTGCCGCCTTCTCTCTAGATTTTCGCTCAGTACGGAACACTCACTCTAGAGCAAGGGAGGGAGGAGCGGGTAGCCAGGGCAGCAAAGGGACCTGCCCGAGGGGAGAGGATGTGGGCCTGGGAAGGTCCCTTTCCCTCTGGAGCCTCAAGCTCCACAACTGGGTTACGAGTGCCTTGGGCTGGAGGCAGGCTCTAAGAGGGGAACTCGGCCCTGGAGGAAGGGGAGGTATTGGGGGAAGAGGGGTCCCCACACCTGCAGGGTCTGCACGTGCTGGTTCACCCGGGTGGTCTTTTCCTTCAAGCTGGTGATGGAGTCTTTGGCACGGACCAATCCACTGTTGACTCCACTCTGGGGAAGAATGAGAGATAGGCGGGTCCATGGGGATGGGAGAGGGGCAAACCCCAACCCCAAGGAAAATTCTAGAACTGGAAGGCTGTGTTTAAACCTTGATTTTGCCCTGCAATGACTGTGTGGCTGTGGCCCAGGGGCTGCACCTCTTTGCTTCTTAGTGTTCCTGCTTAGTGAACCGAGGGGGTGGACTACATTTCTTCATGGTGGGCTGAGAGGAAAAGTAAGTAGGATCCAGGAGGGAATGGGGGTTGGGCGGGGTGCTCAGACATGTGGGAGAAAAAGGGTGGTCTCAACCAAACACTGCGCCCACAGACATAAAAAGATAAACTGTTAAAATACATACTCTTTCTCCCCAGGCACTGAAGAATTATAAAGGAACCCACTTCCCAGATACCAGTACTAATAAGCACCAGGCCACTTACACGTGTCTTCTCTTTTATTCCTCATGACCACACCTCTTGAAGTTATTTGGCTGATTTTGGAAGTGAGGCACATGATCTCAGAGAGGGGACATCTCTTGTACTCCGACGTACATTGCACATTAGGTAGCCTCATCAGAATTTAAACTCAGAACCTTTCTTTTAAACCATGATACCATGTGGCCTTTGGCCATCATTTTTTATTTTACCATCATCATAATTGATTTGTGACTCCTGCCAAATTACAGTTGAGGAGGGATGAGTGTGGCAGGATTCACTTTCCCTGCTTCCACAGTTATAGAAGGCTTAGATTGGCATGTGACTGCCCAACCAGAGACTACATTTCCCAGGTTCCCTTGCAGCCAGGAGTGGCCCATGTGACTAAATTCTGGCCAATGGAATGTGAGTAGAAATAATGAAGTCAATTTCTGAGTCATGTCTTAAAGGAAAGGAGTGAGAACTTCCCGCCTTTTTCTCCCCCCACTGGCTGGAATCCAAATTTGATGGCCATCTTGGACCATCAGTTGGAGGAGACAAGATAGAAGGAGGCTGAATCCCTGACACAGTGGAGCCACCATACTTCATTCAAACCCCCTGTGAAAACTTTTACTGGTGGAAAATACCATCTCTTCCTTATTTAGGCTGTGTTATTTTGTCTTCTTGTTACAGCAGCCAAACTTGTAACTTAACCAATATCATTTATCTTCTTACTTTACAGTTAAAGGAAAAGATGCCCAAAGAACCCTCATGAAGCTGGTTATGGCCATGTGACCAATGCCACCCAATAGGAAATAAGTGGGCCAGATGTGGGCACTGGGTGACATGTTGAAAGGACAGGCATGACTCCCCCTCCTCTTTCCCCTTTCTTAATGGTCGGAAGGCCTTGGGGAGAGCAACAGCTTAGAAATGACTGAGCAATCAAAACACAAAAGGGTGCAATCTGCTACATTTGAAGATCGAAGATCTGGGCTAATGTACTTATTGAGACTTTTATGTGCAAAATAAATTACTTTGCTTGAACCATGGTTGCCAAACTAACACACACACGGGGAAAAACAGAACACATTTCCTCCATTGTACTATGGGGACAACAACACATTTCTCGCATGATTGCTCTGGAGAACAAGTGTGATGAGAAATATATTAAGATGATGTCAGCAAAATGGTGGAGTAAAGAATTTAAAAATTCTATCTCTCTATAAAAACAATGAAAAAAATGACAAAAATGGAAAGAATCAGTTTTTTCACCACTCTGGAAATTAACCAAAGACTTGGAGCAAACCAAGGAGGATTTGTTCAGGGAAAACAAGTGAGACTGGATCAAAACCACAAGATTTATGGAGTTTTACCTTATCCTAGTCCTATCATCCACTTCCTAGCTCAGCAGTAACCTTGAAAAATAACAGCCCACATTCCCCAAAAAGCAACAAAATGGTGATAGAATTCCTTATACCCCAAGGAAGACATTATAAGACTATATAGTGATTCCTTGAGAGACCTACATAAAATATTTGTCTTTTTTTTTTTTTTTTTTTGAGACAGAGTCTCACTTTGTTGCCCAGGCTAGAGTGAGTGCGTGGCATCAGCCTAGCTAACAGCAACCTCAAACTCCTGGGCTCAAGCAATCCTCCTGCCTCAGCCTCCCAAGTAGCTGGGACTACAGGCATGCACCACCATGCCCGGCTAATTTTATATATATATGTATATATATATTAGTTGGCCAAGTAATTCTATTTATAGTAGAGACGGGGTCTCGCTCTTGCTCAGGCTGGTTTCGAACTCCTGACCTTGAGCAATCCGCCCGCCTCAGCCTCCCAGAGTGCTAGGATTACAGGCGTGAGCCACTGCGCCTGGCCCAAAATATTTGTCTTTTGCCTGTCTCAGAATTGGCAAAGTGCTAAAAGCAGCTCTGAGGTGGGGAGAGATCATTTGCAAAAACATTTATAGATAATTGTTTAAATGTTGCTACTCCCCAAGGCAATGGATAACAGTTGGAGTAAACAATAAACTAGTCAAAATGCTTATAAAGGAAAATCTGATGGTGATGTCTATAGGGGCTTTGAAATATGCCAACATCTTCATGGGAATGTAGAAAGCCACCAGCATGTGTAGGGCTGTGCACATGCTCAGAAAAGTCATGAGAAGGCCCCATGCTTATAACCTCTGGCTGACCTTGAAACTGTAAAAGCAGGAAGTGAAGGCTAAGGCAGAGTTGTAAACCATCTGAGTGTTAATGGTATGCTTCAACAGGCACAGCCCTGGGCAAACACTAGAAGATTTTGCTGTTGACCCAGGTATTCGAGGAAATATCTCTCCAATCATTAGGTAACCAATATGATAACAGAACAGAGACTTTAGTGGCCAAACATGATGAAGAATACAGACTTTACAGACTTTATGTTTCTTTTTAAAAAGCAACTACAACAAGCAGTAACAACAACAAAGGAATGGAGGCCCTTTCCAGGGATGCAACATTATGATATTTTATTTATTTATTTTGAGACAGAGTCTCGTTTTGTTGCCCAGGCCTAGAGGTGAGTGCCTATCGGTGTCAGCCTAGCTCACAGCAACCTCAAACTCCTGGGCGTCAAGTGATCCTTCTGCCTCAGCTCCCGAGTAGCTGGACTACAGGCCATGCATCACCATGCCCGGCTAATTTTTTCTATAATATTAGTTGCCTCAATTAATTTCTTTCTATTTATAGTAGAGGACGGGTCTTGCTCTTGCTCAGCTGGTTTGGAACTCTTGACCTCGAGCAATCCGCCCGCCTCAGCCTCCCAGAGTGCTAGGATTACAGGCGTGAGCCACCTCGCCTGGCCCATTATGATATTTTAAATGTCCAATTTCAACAAAAATTCATTTATGAGGCATGCAAAAACAAAACAAAACAAGAAACTATGGCCCATACACTGGGGATGGAGGGGAAGCATCAAGAGAAACTGTTTCTGAGGAAACCCAGATTTGTGTGTAGTAGTCAAAGACTTTAACCCTTTGCATTCACTTGCTTTTTTTCTCGATTCCTTTATTCTATTCGGGATTTAATTTTTTAAATACTCCAGATTTTACAAAGCGTAGCAGTAGAATAAACAACTGGAGTTTGTTTTCATACAAACTTATTTATTTGGATATTTTTATACTTCAAATTATTGATACATTCAAAGAGTAATTTTAATCTCTATAATTTTTGCTAATTGTGGAGTCACACTTGACATCCGAGTGCAAAGGGTTCAATTAGCTATTTAAATTATGTTCAGGCCGGGTGTGGTGGCTCATGCCTGTAATCGTAGCACTCTGGGAGGCCGAGACAGGAGGATCACTCAAGGTCAGGAGTTTGAAACCAGTCTGAGCAAGAGCCAGACCCCATCTCTACTAAAAGTAGAAAGAAATTAATTGGCCAACTAAAAATAAATAAAAAAAATTTAGCCCGGCATGGTAGTGCAAGCCTGTAGTTCCAGCTATTTGGGAGGCTGAGGCAGAAGGATTGCTTGAGCCCAGGAGTTTGAGGTTGCTGTGAGGTAGGCTGACTCCATGGCACTCTATTCCAGGCAACAGAGTGAGACTCTGTCTCAAAAAAATTAAAAGAATAAATAAGTAAATAAATAAAATATAAAAGATGTTCAAAGGGGTAAAGGAAACCGTATCTAAGGAACAAAAGGAAAATGAGAGAATCATGTCTCACCAAATAGAGCATATTACTTAAAAGATAAAAATTACTAAATGGAACCAAATAGAAATTCTGGGATGGAAAAGTACAATAACTGAAGGGAAAAATACACTAAGGGGGTACAGTAGCAGATATAAACAGCTAGGAGGATGAATCGGTGAACTTGAACATAGCTCGGTTGAGATCACCCAGTCTGAAGAACATAAAGAAAAAAAGAATGGAGAAAAATGAGCAGAGCCTCAGAAACCTGTGAGTCTGGAAGTTGCAGAAGAAGAGGAAAGAAAGGGGCAGAAAGTATGTTTGAATGCATATGGCTGAAATTTGATGATAAACAAATTTGATATCCCAAATTTGATGATAAACATTAATCTAGGCTGAATGTTGTGACTAACACCTGTAATCCTAGCATTTTGGAAGGCCAAGGTGGGAGGATTGCTTGAGGCCACGAGTTTGAGACTAGCCTGAGCAATGTAGTGAGACCCCATCTCTACAGAAAACTTGAAAATTAGTCACGCATGTTGGTGTGTGTCTGTAGTCCTAGTTACTCAGGAAACTGAGGCAAGAAGATTGCTTGAGCCAAGGAGTTTGAGCCTGCAGTGAGCTATGATTGTGCCACTGCACTATAACCTGGGCAACAGGTTAAAAAAAGAAGTGGCAAACAATTCATCTCCAATTCTCCCCCCAAAATAGAAGAGTAGCAGTTTTGAACTTATTCTGTGAGGCCAGTATTGCCTTGATAACAAAATCGGATAAAAACACCACAAGAAAAGAAAACTACAGACCAATATCCTTTATTGATACAGTCACAAAAATCCTCAACAAAAATGCTAGCAAACCAAATCCAACAGCATATAAAAAGGATTATGCACCATGACCAAGTGGGAATTATCCCAGGAATGCAAGGTTGGTTCAACATATGAAAATCAATCAATGTAACTTACCATGTTAATAAAATGAAGGAGGGAAACCACATGATCATGTTAACAGGCAGACAGAAAGTATTTGACAATACAACACCTTTTCATAATTAAAAAAAAAAACACAAGGTCAGGAGAAAAAAAAACACTCAACAAACTAGGAATAGGAGGTAACTTCCTCATCCTGATAAAGGGCATCCACAAAACCCCCACAAAATACGATGGTTTAAAATGCATCTATAAATTATTTGACAATCCTCTAAAATATGCAGTGTTATTCCCCTCACTTGAATATAGGCTGGACTTATTGACCTAGTAAACAGAATAAGGCAGACGTGATGATGTGCGAGTTAAGAGACTAGTTCACAAAAGGAACTTTTTGGCTGGGCACGGTAGCTCACACCTATAATCCTAGCACTTTTGGAGGCCAAGGTGGAAGATTCGCTTGAGGTCGGGAGCTCAAGGCTGGCCTGAGCAAGAGCAAGACCCCCCCCATCTGTGTATATATATATATATATATTTTTTTAATTAAAAATTTTAAAAAATTTAAATTTTTTAAATTTAAATTAATTTAAATTTAATGCCTGCTGTCTCTTGCTCTGGGGAATGATAGCCAACATGTCATATGCCTATGGAGAGGCCCAAGTGACAAGTAACTAAGGCCTCCAACCAAGGGCCATGTGAGTTTGCCATCTTGGTAGCACAACGTCCAGCCCCAGACAAGCCTTCAGATGACTGCAGCCCTTGCTAAAATTCTTGGCCGCAACCTCATGAGTCACCATGAACCCAGTGGCAGCCAGGGTCCTGGGACACACCTCTTCTTGGCCACGTACACACTGTGCAACTCTCTGCAAACCAATTTCCTGCTCGGAGCCTGCCTCAATTTCGTTTCCCATGCAGTGGGAATAATGATACCTTGTTTAGATGGCAGTGAGGAAGGATCAACAACTTGATAGGATCAAGAAGCCTAGCCCAGGGATTAGTGTCAGCACTGTTAAAAGTACCAACAACAAAGCCGGTGCAGTGGCAGGTGCCTGTAGTCCCAGCTACTCAGGAGGCTGAGGCAGGAGGATCGCACCTGTGAACGGCCACTGCTCTTCAGCCTGGGCAATGTAGCGAGACCTCATCTCTAAATAATAATAATAATGATAATAATCATGGCTGGATGTGGTGGCTCACACCTGTAATCCTAGCACTCTGGGAGGCCGAGATGGGTGGATCGCTCAAGGTCAGGAGTTCCAAATCAGCCTGGGCAAGAGTGAGACCCTGTTTCTATCAAAAAATAGAAAGAAATTAATTGGCCAACTAAAAATATATAGAAAAAAATTAGCCGGGCATGGTGGCGCATGCCTGTAGTCCCAGCTACTCGGGAGGCTGAGGCAGGAGGATTGCTTGAGCCCAGGAGTTAGAAGTTGCTAGGCTGATGACACAGCACTCTAGCTGGGGCAACAGAGTGAGACTGTCTCAAAAACAAAACAAACAAACAAAAAAACATGACAACAGGACAGGATCTACAGGAATGGACCTTAGCAACATGGACCCTCACTGTGGCCTCAGGGAAACCTGCAGGAAACGACCAGGGGTCAAAAGAACTGTCCTGTCAATCTCTGCCCTTGATTCACGGTGTGACCTTCCAGAAAGTAGTGCCACCTTCTCAGCTGCATGCTTTGGCCTCCTAAGGACGTCATAGCTCACGCCAGGAGCCAACACTGTCTGCTGCACCATCCTCTGCTGTCCCTCTTCCTACCTGGTACTTGTCACTCGCTCAACCAGCGTCACCATCACCTCCTGCTTCTCTGACCCCACTTCTCTCGGTTCCTTCTCTCTCTGGGTCTCTGTCCCCCTCTTCTCTGGTTTTCCGTCTCTCCTCACTTGGTCTCTTCACCCAAATCTCAGAGTCTGTCTGTCTCCCTGTCTCTGAGTCTTTGAATCTTATTCCTGAGGCCTCTGTCCTTTTCCCAGGTCTGCGTCCCCCTTTCCAGGGGTCACTCCCCCCCCCTGCCCCCAGTCTCCGGGTCTCTGACTCTGTCTGGTCTCTTTGTCTTCCCTCTTCGCACTTCAGTCTCCCCGATTCTTGTCCTCTGTGCCTTTGTCTCTCTGGGTCTGTCCCCACCCTTGCAGTCTCTGCCTTCCCCACCTCTCAGTGTCTGTCCCTTTCTCTGCAATGTCCCCATCTCTCTAGGCTTCTCTCCCTTTTGTGGGCCTCTGTTTCCCCCACTTTGGGTCAATTTCCTCTTCTGTCTCTGAGGCTTCATCACCCCTACACTGGACCAGTGTCCTCCCCCTCTCTGGGTCTCTGTCCCCCTCTCTCTCTGGGTCTCTGTCCCCCTCTCTCTCTGGGTCTCTGTCCCCCTCTCTCTCTGGGTCTCTGTCCCCCTCTCCCTGGGTCTCTGTCCCCCTCTCTCTGGGTCTCTGTCCCCCTCTCTCTGGGTCTCTGTCCCCCTCTCTCTCTGGGTCTCTGTCGCCCCCCTCTCTCTGGGTCTCTGTCCCCGCTGTCTCCAGCGTGCTTCTTGGTCGCAGCCGAGGTGCTGGGTGCTGGTGTCTGGGCTCGCTGTCCCTCCTCACCTCTCCTGTGCACACCCAGAGGTGTCAGCTCTCAGTACTTTCTCCATTTCGCGGAGAAGGAGGCAGAAGCCCTGTGGAGGCCGATGGTCCCCTTGTCCCCAGAGCGCAGCTGCGCCAAGCTCTGACCCCGGCTGCTCAGGGGCCGTCCACTGGGGGAGATGACTCAGAAATGGCTCTGGTGGGAGGCAGACGGCTGTGAGCGCTGCCTGAGAGACACTCATGGAGCGAGGGAGGAAAACTGTCCCAGCCTCGACCCGTCTCCCTGTTTAGGCTCTTCTCTCCAGCCATGCCCCCGCCCAGCCTCCTCTCCTCTCCTCCCAGCGTCCCCACACCTGGCCCAGGGGTCTTAGGAAAGAAAGGACTTTTGCTTTAGCGCCAAAGCCACCGGCCATCTAGTCCTGGCCCTGTGGCTCACAAGCTCTCTGATCTGACTTTTCCAAGAGAAGAAAACGAGACCCCCACCATAAGGGACGCAGCACGGCACCCGCCACATGGTAGGAGCTCAGTCAGTGGAGTGGGCCCCAAATCCCAAGTTGCTCCTCTCTCGGTCTCTCTCTCTCCCCCTTGAACCCACGCTGGCTCCCCATTACCCTCAGGAGAACACCCACATTTCTCAGCCTGTGTGGCCTGTGCCCTCGCCCCATCCAGCCTCATCTGTGTCACACTCCACACTTCAGCTGTAGGGACCAACTGGGAGGTACCCCTCCTACCCCAGGCTCCTTTCAGCTCCTGCACACGTGGTTCCTGGTAGCTGGGACACCCTTCCCTATCTTCTGCATGGGGAACGCCTTCCTAATCTTCAAGATCTAGCTTATGTGTTGCTTTTTCTGGAAAGCCTTCCTTGACCATGATTGGCTGGGCGTAGGCCTCCCTCCTCAGGGTCCTGCAGTGACCTCCACTGTCCCCATCATTGCAGGATGTCAACCCCCCCCCCCAAGTTCCTAAGCCTGGCTCCACCACTTTGAAGCTGCGTGACCTCGAGTGAGCTATTGAACCTTTCTGGGCCTCAATATCTTCCTCTGGAAAACAGGGATAAATAACAACAATAATAACAAGATTCCAGCACTCATTCTGTGCTCACGGCTGGCTGTGGCACTAAACGTTTTACATGAATGAACCACTTCGTTCTCACACCACCTCACAAGGTGGGTACTGTTACATCTAGAATTCTGTCTTGGGCGCTACTGCATTTGCTGCTCCTAGACCAGTGCCTGGCACACCGTAAGCATTTAAGAAATATTTGTCGCAAGAACAAATGCATGCATCTCTGTTTCCCATATGGAGAAACTGAGGCTCCTAGAGAGAAAGGGCTCAGTACATGCTAGTAAGTCATGGCTGTTGTTAGTGTAATTCTCAGTGTTGGTGTGGAGCCCAGTTCGGGCCTGGCCCAGGGGAAGCCTGGTGGGGGGTGAGGGGCAGAGGTGGGGGAGTTAAAGACCAAGCTGTAGCACTCCATGCTTTTGCCAGAAATTTCCTAAATCCCCCTAGATTTTACATTCCCTCTTAATTTTGCCCCAGATTCTTAGGTGACCCCCCACCTCAGAGAACTCCTACTCATCTGACAAAACCCAGTTTCAACACTGCCTCCTCCAGGAAGTTCTCCCTGATACCTCCAGCCTGGTTTGAAGGGCTCTTCTCTAGGATACCCTCCATGGTAGAACTTGTCACCCCAGTCTGTGTCTGTCACCCTCACCAGACTGGGAGCTCTCCAAGGGCAAGGACCCTGCCTGATTCCTGTCTATAAGTCCACCCTCATCCGGGACATTTGGAAGTGATCGCATGAACAAATAACCAACTCCCAGATTCATGGCTGGCTGTCAAGGACCAAGGAGACAGCTCCTCTTGGTCTCAAAGAGTGGCCGGAAGTTTCTTATTTTAAATCAGGAACACTGGCCCTCCCATCCTCAGTATTTGCCCACCACCAGGCCGGGGACCCCGGTCCTCCCCAGCCGGGGGTCCCTCACCAGTATTTCTGTGATGTCTGGGTCATCTGGTTGCCAGGGTTGGGTTGGGGAGGCAGGAGGCCCGGGCAGTGCAAGTTGGCCACTGTTATCTTCTGTGGTCGAGTCAGTCCCCGAGGAGTCGGTGGGCTCCACGGCGGCCAGGTTGAGCAGTGACACATTGGTGCAGGCCGAGGACCGTTTGAGGTTCAGGCACCAGTGCATCGGCTCATGGGACGTCCGGGGCTCCACCCTGCAGAGGAGAAACAGGCAGGAAGGTTGAGATGCAGCCTGACCTGGTCTGGCCCCTCCTGCCTCCCTCCTCCCCACTCCCTTCTTCCTCTCTACCTCCTTGGCTCTTATTTCTCCTTCGCAGCGCCCTCCTGCCTGTCACCCGCCCCCTCCTCTTCTCCCCCTCCCCTTCCTCCAGCACCCACGGTGGGTCTTGTGCTCTGCTGGAGGCAGTGCTCGGCGCTAGGACCGTCCCCGACAGGGTGCGGCAAACCCACCCGTGGAACGACACAGCCTTCTTTTTCTTCGTGATCCCCTTGGCTGGGATGGTCACCCCCCCTGGAGCCTCGGGGACGAGCTGGGAGCGGTTCTCGACCCCTGCACGGGGGTCTCCGGCCTCATGGATTTCTTTGGACTGCCAGATGGTCTTCACCACCACGCTTGCCATGGCGTGTGGGGGGTCCTGCTCCCAAGGGCTCCTTCCTCTGAGACTCCCCACCTACTCTGACCACTGACCCTCAGAGTCCCCTGTCCCCTGCAGCCTGCCTCACAAAGGACCCAACCACTGGGCCCCAGTGAGCAGGGGGTAGGGGTGGGTGGTCCCCCCAGGGGGCCCAGTGGACTCTTCCTGCTCAGGATTCTGGTTCTACAGCGACACACTCCTCCTCTTCAGAGCTGCCATGGGGGGTCACCCAGCCCCATATACTCATATTTGATGCGTCATGCCACACCCTGCACTTGGCACTTGCCTTGGGGCGTGGGGATTGGGGCCCAGGCCCTTCCTTGGAGGATTGTACATTCTGGGGCATTGGGGGAGGGGAGGCAATAGACAGGCAAACAAGAAAACAGCAGAGGTTGGTAAGTGATATAAAGGGAATCAAAATCAGATGATGGCATTTGTCAAAACTCATCGATTTGTACACTTGTGATTTGAAGCCTTTCACTCCTTGCCTATTTTATTTTTTTTATTTTGAGACAGAGCCTCGCTTTGTTGCCCAGGCTAGAGCGAGTGCCGTGGCGTCAGCTTAGCTCACAGCAACCTCAAACTCCTGGGCTCAAGCAATCCTGCTGCCTTAGTCTCCTGAGTAGCTGGGACTACAGGCATGTGCCAGCATGCCCAGCTAATTTTTTCTATATATATTAGTTGGCCAATTAATTTCTTTCTATTTATAGTAGAGACAGGGTCTCACTCTTGCTCAGGCTGGTTTCGAACTCCTGACCTCTAGTGATCTGCCTGCCTCGGCCTCCCAGAGTGCTAGCATTACAGGCATGAACCACCCGGCCACCTCTTGCCTATTAAAAAAGAATCAAGGCCAGGCTCAGTGGCTCATATATATAGAAAAAATTAGCCGGGCATGGTGGCGCATGCCTATAGTCCCAGCTACTCAGAAGGCTGAGGCAGAAGGATTGCTTGAACCCAGGAGTTGGAAGTTGCTGTGAGCTAGGCTGATGCCACGGCACTCTAGCCTGAGCAACACGGTGAGACTCTGTCTCAAAAAAATAAATAAATAAAAAATAAAAAAGAGTCTAAACAAACACTGAGCTGTAGTTAATGATGTGATGTTGAAGTATCTCAGGCTGTTATTAGTTTGCTGGGGCTGCCACAGCAAGTACGACAGACGGGGTGGCTTGAACAATAGAAATAGATCGTGTCACAGTCCCAGAGGCTGGAAGTGCAAGATCAAGGTGTCGGCAGGGCTGGTTCCTTCTGAGGGCTGTGAGGGAGAATGTTCCAGGCCTCGCCCCTTTGCTGTGGCTTCTGGTGGCCTCTGAGCTTCCTTCCTCGGCTTGTAGATGGCTGTCTTCTCCCTGTGCCTTCACATTGTCTTCTCTCTGCCTGCATCTGTCTTCGTGTCCAAATCTCCCCCTGTTTTAATTCCCCCTTCTATCCTCCCAACTCTTATTCCCACCAAATTGCCCCCCTTTTTAAGGAAACTAGTTATATTGGATTAAGACCCATCCAAATGACCTCATCTGAATGTGACCATCTGCAAAGACATTATTTCCAAATAAGGTCACATCCACAGGTACTGGGGGTTAGGACTTCAACATTTTTTTTTTTTAACTTTTTTTTTTTTTGAGACAGAGTCTCATTATGTTGTCCAGGCTAGAGTGAGTGCCGTGGCGTCAGCCTAGCTCACAGCAACCTCAAACTCCTGGGCTCAAGCAATCCTGCTGCCTCAGCCTCCCAAGTAGCTGGGACTACAGGCATGCACCACCATGCCCGGCTAATTTTTTCTATATGTATTAGTTGGCCAATTAATTTTCTTTCTATTTATAGTAGAGACGGGGTCTCGCTCTTGCTCGGGCTGGTTTCAAACTCCTGACCTCAAGCAATCCGCCCACCTTGGCCTCCCAGAGTGCTAGGATTACAGGCGTAAACCACCGCATCTGGCCTTGTTTTTTTTTTTTTTTGAGACAGAATCTTATTCTGTCACCCTAGCTAGAGTGCAGTGGCGTCATCACAGCTCACTTCAACCTCAAAGTCCTGAGCTCAAGCAATCCTCCTGCCTCGGCCTCCCAGAATGCTGGGATTGCAGGCCTGAGCCACCGTGCCCAGCCTACATCTTTTTGGGAGACACGATTCAGTCCATAACAGGGGCAAAGTATACTGATATCTTCAGCTTACTGTGAATGCATGAAAACCACAAGACAATCTATGAGACAAGAGAGGGACGGCCAGAGGGACAGATACTTCACAATGCAAGTAGAGCAAATATTAATGGCAGAATCAAAATGGGACATACAGTTGTTTTGACTTTCTGAATAACCAGAAACTTCCATAATAACTGGGTGTTGGGATGAAATAGTATGATGGGAGGGGCTTGCTTTCAAATAATGCAGTGGGAGGCAGGCTTGGTGGCTCAGGCCTGTAATCCCTGTACTTTGGGAGGTGAGAAGACGGCTTGAGGCCAGGAGTTTGAGGCCAGCTTGAACAACATACTGAGACCCTGTCTCTACAAGAAATTAAAAATTTAGTTGGGTGTGGTGGCACATGCCTGTAGTCCCAGCTACTCAGGAGGCTGAGCCAGGAGGATGACTTGAACCCAGGAATTCGAGGTTACCATGAGCTGTGATCATACCACTGCACTCCAGCCTGGGTGAGAGTGAGACCCTGTCTTTTTTTCTTTTTTGAGACAGAGTCTCGCTTTGTTGCCCAGGCTAGAGTGAGTGCCATGGCGTCAGCCTAGCTCACAGCAACCTCAAACTCCTGGGCTCAAGCAATCCTGCTGCCTCAGCCTCCTGAGTAGCTGGGACTACAGGCATTTACCACCATGCCCCGCTATTTTTTTCTATGTATATTAGTTGGCCAATTAATTTCTTTCTATTTATGGTAGAGACAGGGTCTTGCTCTTGCTCAGGCTGGTTTTGAACTCCTGACCTTGAGCAATCCACCCGCTTCGGCCTCCCAGAGAGCTAGGATTACAGGTGTGAGCCACTGCACCCAGCCTAGTTTTATGCTGTCTAGGCCCAGTCTTCAGAATTAACTTTTGGCTAATTCATGGGCTCCGTGGGGTTGTGGGGAGGACTGAGTTCTCCCACCTACTCTTGACCAGACCTAGAATCAGGACATCCTTCCCCTACACCAACCCAGAGTTAACTCCACCTGTTCCCAGCTGGGCTCAGGGCTCAGGGTGGAAGGTGAGGGGTGAGAGGGGAGATGGAAGGTTGGGGCAGGGAAAATGGTGGCCTTTCCCCCTTATTTAGGGACAGACATTTCCTTTTCTTGAGACCCTCAATGTCTCTCTTCACATCCCTCAAAAAAGGGACAATTTCAAACCCCACTACTATTTAATAGTATATATTTAAAAATTTTTTTTTCATTTCAGCTTATTACAGGAGTACAAATGTTTAGGTATGTATATTGCCTTCACCCCACTCCAGTCAGTGATTCAAGCATGTCTATCATCCAGAAGGTGCGCACTGCACCAATTAGGTGTGAATAGCCCCCTCCCCTCCTCCCCCTCCCATTATATATATATATATATATTTTTTTTTTTTTTTTTTGAGACAGAGTCTCGCTTTGTTGCCCAGGCTAGAGTGAGTGCCATGGTGTCAGCCTAGCTCACAGCAACCTCAAACTCCTGGGCTCAAGCAATCCTTTTGCCTCAGCCTCCTGAGTAGCTGGGACTACAGGCATTTACCACCATGCCCCGCTATTTTTTTCTATGTATATTAGTTGGCCAATTAATTTCCTTCTATTTATAGTAGAGACAGGGTCTCGCTCTTGCTCAGGCTGGTTTTGAACTCCTGACCTCGAGCAATCCACCTGCCTCGGCCTCCCAGAGTGCTAGGATTATGGGCGTGAGCCACCTGGCCCGGCCTATTTAATGGCATTTTACTCAGGGACGAAGTGCTTCCTACCAAGTCACGAATGGATTCCTACAATCCTTGGAATGTGTAATGTGTCTTTCCATAAAAAAGACTTCTTCAAGTCCTGGTACTAATAAAGTTTTGTTTTGAATGGGGGTGCCCTGTGGCTCTTCAGTGGCAGACAGCCCCCACTCCCATATTAGAAATGGACTCCTCCTGTCACTAAAAACTGCTGAGAGATATCCGTCCTCTTAGAATCCCCAAGCCCCATTCCTGGAAACCCAAATGGATGAATCCATTGAACCTGGAAGGTGGGCTCTTCTCAACCTCGCCCCTGTCCCCCCAGGGTTCTGAGTGGATGTTCCCAGGATCCAGAACTCACCCTCAAGGCTCATTCCAGGAATACTTGGTTTCTGAGATTAGAAAGGGACAGTGGGGTGGGATTTTTGTGACAGAAATGGACTCTTCCAGTTCCCTTTGCCCCAAATTTCTCAAAGCCAGTTTACCAAAGAGTCTCTAGGGAGCGGGGGAGGCAGTGGGGGCCGGGCCAAACCAGATACACCCATTCCTTCCTCTAAAAAGTGTTGTCAGCTCTTCAATACCAGGTCCCATTCTTGCCTGGGAGGAGCTCCAAGTTTGATGGAGACGATAATCAATTTTGATTCGATATCTGCTACAATGGAGGTTGCCCCAGGCATTGTGGTTGGAGGAGGAAAAGAAAAGTCAACGTATATTGAAAAATGGTTAAAAGCCATAATTTAGTTTAAATTCTTATTTTTCCACTTCCAAGCTGTGTGACCGTAGACGAGTCATTCAACCTCTCTGGACCCAAGTTTTAACCTCTGCTTAATGGGACTAGCCTTGAATTACGGTTCCTTCACTCTGGGATTCTAGGGTCTCCTGACAAGTCAAGTCTGGACATACTGGGGTCAGAGCGACAGGGCGGGATAAGGCAAAGCTTCCTGGAAGAGGATCGTAGCACTAGGGGGTGAGGGAGTGGAGGGAGAAAGGGAACACACTGACGCTTGCGCAGTGAACAACTCACGCTCCATTGCCCCGCCTAGCCACTGCTCTGCAGCAGGGAATTGCAGGCGTCGCTCCACCTATCCCAGCCCAGCGGAGTGACACCTTCTCCTCTCTCCTTCCCTATGGATCTTCGCCCTTTGCCCGCCCCCACAACTGCCCAATCGAGGGCGGAAGTAGGACAGACCCGCGAATCCGCGGCGCCTGTG